TAGATTTGAACTCACTCCAGGTCTGGTGCTTTATCCACTACACACCCTAGCCGCCTTCAGAAAACATCATCTCAGCTTCCCGGGTCCTATTGACTGATGGGTTGAGTTTTATAGGCTCTCTTCAGGGTCTCTGCTCCTGCCCCACCTGGGCTCCATCTTCAGCAAATCCTGATCCGGACTCTGACTCCCTGAACGCACTTTGGTCGGTTAGTCAGTAGCCTTTGAATCATGCCCCATCTCAGTGACCATTCAAAAGTCCAGCCCATAACCACACGGTGAGAGGCCCAGAGCCAGTTACAGAAGGTCTGTGTAAGCTCTGCATCTGAACCTTCCCGTGCCTTTCCAGAAGCAGGCTCCCCAGCCTTCTCCAAGTGGGCAGGCAGTAGACAGAGCATGCTGGGCACAGCCTGAGATTGGGAGTGCCCATGGCCAAGTTCCTGTTACACTGGTACTTAGTAGGCGCTTAATAAACGTTCACTGATTGATTGCACGCACCTCTTGAGGTTCAGATTGGCTCCCCCGTTAGACTGCGAGCTCCTTGCCAGCAGGGACCATATTTTTGCCTTTCTTTACATCCCCATGGCTTAGCACAGTGCCCGAAACAATAGGTGCTTAATAAATGCTTGTTGGCCAGACTGACGCTTTTCTTTCCACTGCAGGCTGTGAGGCGAGCAGGCAGATGGACATAATTTTAGGGCTTCCCAGCCGCCACAAGCGAAAACCACAGACGTGAGTCCAGAGACTCCTTCTGGTCGGTTCAAAGCAAGCAGCTCGAAGGGCTTGTGAAATACCAGCTGATGTGCGTCAGCGCGAGGGGCACTGCCAGCTTCCCTCACCTGCTGTGCCTCAGGCACACCCATGCATTACCAGGAAAATGACTTCAGCTCAATTAGTGCCGATGCCACTTGGAACTCCCCTGGGCCAGCGTCACCAAGCCCTGGTTTACAGCAGGGCAGCAGGGTGGCCGAGAAGCAAAGAAACTCACCCAACTTCGAACTCAAGGAGGCCTGGGAGACCGACTGCTTTCACTTTATTCTATTTTCCAATTAATAAGTATTTGTTTTCTTTCCCACTCATTCCCCACCCTAAATTTAAGGAAAAAAATAAAATCCTTGGAAGCAATACGTGTGGTCTACGCTGGCCGTGTCCCACAATGCCTGTCTTATTCTGCACCTGGAGCCCGTCCATCGCCCGTCCGTCAGACGAGGGGCTCTCTGGAACCGTGGCCCATCGCTGCTTTGATCCGAGATCTTGCATCTTTCAAAGCTGTTTGTCTTAATGATGTTGACGTTATTGTAGAAATCGCTCTGGTTCTGCTCACTTCCACCTGCATCGGTTCGTATAAGTTTTCCAAATTTTCTCTAACCCCATTGGTCTTTTCTTATGGCGCCTTCATATACACTTATTTGTTCTGCTGTTCTCCAACGGGTGTGCCCTTCCCCAATCTATAGGGCTTTTTTTGTCACAGAAAAAAGCTTTTAAAAATATTTCTGTGTGTATAGGAACTTTTCCTTCCTAACTTGATTTAAATTGATTTAATTAATCCATCAAATTGATTAAATTAAATTTAATTGACTAATTTAAGTCAATTCAATTCAATTATCATGTATTGTTGTTCAGTTGCGTCCAACTCTCTGTGGCTCCATTTGGAGTTTTCTTGGCAAAGATACTGGAGGGATTTGCCATTTCCTTCTCCAGCCTATTTGACAAATGAGGAAACTGAGTTAAGTGACTTGCCCATGGTCACACAGCTAATATGGGGGCCAAATTTGAACTCAGGGCTTCCAGACTGCAGGCCCTGGGCTCCATCCACTGAGCCACCTATATATGAGGGCAGCTAGGTGGCGCCACAGTGGATGGAGCCCAGGGCCTGGAGTCAGGAAGACTCATCTAAGTGAGTTCAAATCCAGCGTCAAATACTTCCTAGCTGTGTGACCCTGAGCAAGTCACTTAACTTTGCCTCAATTTCCTCATTTGTAAACTGAGCTGGAGAAGGAAACGGCGGACCACTCCAGTATCTCTGCCGAGAAAATCCCAAATGCGGTCACGGAAAGTGGGATATGTCTGAAACGGCTGAACAGCAAAATCCTCAAGTGCTGTCGGTATCAATATCAGTCATCATCATTTGCTGTGCTCACCACCTTCTTGAGCCAAGTTCCAATTAAAGAAACAAAACAAACAGCACCTAAATTGGAAATTAATTACTCTGAGAATTCTCTCTGTACACTGTTCTATAATTGGCTCGTTGTCTTGCCAAGTCTGGGGATGTTTGCTTCAGGAAGGGACGGGGTGAACAAGCCTCTTCTGAGCACCTGGGGGCAGCCTGTGTTTATGAGAGCAGAGGGCGGAGGGCAGACCCACCCTGCCCTGCCCAAGACAACATTCCTTCCCAGACTCGCAGAATTGGCAGGAGCTTTCCAGGGCAGCGCACGCCCCAGAGGGATCTGCACTGACCACAGTCCGGGGGTCATCCAGCCTGTTCTGGAAGCCCCCCCACCCTTCCTCAGGCAGGCCCCCCCACCCCCGAATTCGGGACTTTGTGGGTGTGGCCCCTTGCTCTCGGGGGCAAGACGGAAGAGGTCTAATCCTTTCTCCAAGAGACACCTTCAAACGTCTGAGCGCCTTCCTACTGGCCTCCTCTTATGGTCCCTTCCCCTCATCCTCACATGGCATGGGTTCGAGACCCTTTGCCATCTTGGTTCTCTCTTCAGGATGCTTTCTGGCTTCTCCATATGCTTCTCAAGCTGTGACACCCCCCGCCCCCCAAGAATTGAACACAACCCTCCAGATGGAGTCAGACCAGAGGTGGGTCCAGTGGGACTACCACGTCCTTATTCCTGGAAGCCATACCTCTCTTCATTCTTCCGAAGAATGCCCCAGCTTTTTTTTTTGCTTCTGCTAAAGCATATTGAGCTTGAAGTCCACTAAGACCCCTAGATAGTCTTCTGAGCTGTTGGCCAGCCATCTTGTACTCGAGAGGTGGGACTTTTGAACCTGAGTGGAGATTTTCCATTGACCCCTATGGCACTTTATCTAATTAGATCCAGTCCAACACTCTGGCCTTTCAGGATCTTTCTGGATGCTGACTCTGCTATCCATGGTCTTTCTCAGCTATCCCTCACAGATTGGTGTCATTTCCCAATTTGATATGCACTCCGTCATCTACCCCTTTGTCCAAGTCATTGACAGAAATGTTAAACAGCCAAGGCCAAGCGCCTATCTGGGCAGGAAGGAGAGGCCTTGGCCTTAGGCTTGGCTGACTTGCTTCCCCTCTCCCCCTCCCCACCTCCCACCCCTTTGGAGGAAGATATTCTAGCTTCCAAGGGTCTGAAGGCTATTGGACTTCCCATCCCCCCACTGGCATCCTAAATAGCACCCCCAGATCAACCGATGGCAGTGTCTGCATCGGCAGCCAAGCACAACTGAAAGCAGATTCACCACAAGGGGGGGAATGGGATGGGGCACCCCACAAATGGGGGAAGACACCTTTCTAGCAGCCGCAAGGCTCCTGTGCCACATGTGCTACGCTGGAGACAGCTTTGCCCTAGACTCTTAGGTACTCGAGGGACAGCGAGACGGGTGTTTGGGAGGATGCTCTGTACCCACGCGCTGACTGCACCCTTTGGAAAATACTCTCCTAAAAAACTACTTACAGCTGGCTAACTAAATTGATTCTCGGCTGATAACCTTGGTGGGTGGGGAAGCCCACTGGTGGGGGCTCCGCGACAGACGCATTAGAGAATCACTCCTGACCACTTAGGGACACTCCTTCGACCCCGAACCCAACGGGGAGGCGTAGCCGAGTGCTGAGGACTCACTCTTCTGTGAGAATGGGAGCTGGGTAAAGATGCCCTGGAGCTTACACAGGCTACCTTCATATAGGGAATTATCAGTTGGCCAACCGATTGGAATAGAAATACCAATGAGGGAATTGGACACTAGAGTAACTTGCCTGAGGTCACCCAGCAAGGGGGTGGCAGAGACAGGACTTCCAGAGAATTCATTTTGAGCAGAAAGCAAACTTTGAGCTCAGCAGACTCATTTTACAGATAAGGAAACTGAGGCCCAGAGAAGCGACTGGCTCAAGGTCACACAGCCTGTCAGCGTTGGACCGGTAAACATGCCGACTACACCATTTCTTAGGCAGGAGACACAGGAAGGCTTCTAGCACCTCTCTCACCAGCAGGCTGGCTTTTGACCGGGTCAGACAGGAATGGAGTCATCATTAGTAAGCTTACTAGGGTCTAGTCTTCTCAAAGGGAATTTGCTGGTAATGGGAACACCAACTCCTACAGCATTGCCTAACAAGCCTTCTCACAGGGGCCGGGGTGAGAGGGGGGAGCTACTATGTCTCATCTTGATGGGGTCAATCAAGACCGGCACAACTTGTGCTCTCCCCTAAATCCCCTCCAACCTCAGTAGGGGCCGGTTGAGGCAAACACGCCATTTAGTCTGCACATTCACCCCATGGGGGTCCCCAGTCACTGACCAGTGCCCACTTGCTTTATAGGGCAACAGACAAAGAATGCACATTGCCAGCAACAGCCTCACAATTTTCCATCACTTCACCCCTCTATCTACTGCGCAAGTGTGGTAGAAACTGTTTTGAACCACGATCGTGAGAACTCACATCTAACACCTGGGAAGTAGAGATTATGTTATGGCTGTGGATCCTGGCAAGAAAACTCTAAATGCGTGCTGACCGACTGCTGGGCCAGGATACTGTGAAGCAGACCCAGTGCAGCGTAACACCCCCCCGGGAGGAGCGGCCTGCATCAGGCTGGGCCTTCTCAGACCCCACTGACCTCCCGGCTTTACCGCTTTACTTGGGGATGGCTCAGGGCAGCCATGCCCACCTGTTCTTCCACTTAGCAAAAGGGATAATTTAGGAGAGCTCGATCTCCCTGGACTGGAGTAAGATTGATGGTGCCAAATAATGCTCCACCCCACGCCCCATCACACCCCTGGACCCACTGACAGAACTGAACCAGAGGCAGGTCTCACAGATAATTCACATCCTCTTTATTTGCCGGCTCTCGGAACAGATGGAGCAGAGGTGGAGTGACGAATGCCATGAACACGTCCGTGCAGGTCTGACTGGGCCTTCTCCCCGGCCGTGGATCCGTCCCGTGGCCTGAGCTCGCGCCTGGCGTCAGCAGCTACTTCTCCTCCCACCTGTGCTTAACGTGCTTCCACAGCTTCTGCATGGAGAAGACAAAGGCCACGGACGTGGAATCCCCATCCACAGTCCGAGTTCTCTGCCGTCGCTGGCCCCCCACCTTCCCAACAAGAATGGACGGAAGTGGGCATGTTAACTGCAGTGGTCGACAGGGCCTGGTCCTTCCTTAGGTGAGGAAGGACCCCACCCCACCTCCCGCCCTAGGGAATCTGTCAAACCCGGAGCCCTCAATCCTTCCCTGAAGAGGAGCTCTTTCTGATTTCCCCGTCTGACCTCTGACACATAGGAAGGGGTACCCGGGGGCAGTGGCCCACCTGGAGACACGCTGACCCTCGAGGAGAGAGACGTGGGGCTCCAGGCCCCCTTGGGAGGTCTCTTAGCTAGCTTTCATCTTCAAAGGTCTTTTGCTTCGATGCTCCTTGACTAAGCTGAGGACCGCTGGTCTACGGACGCTCCCAGAGCTGGGGAATCCCACCACTCTTGGGGCTCCCTGACCCTCAGCAAGGCTCTCCAGCTACTCTCACTTTGTAAAACTCACCTTTCTCGGGTACAGTAAATCTACCTCATCCCATTCCAGGCTACAGCTGGAGGAGACCTCAGATCTAGGCCATCGACTTCAACCTTCTCATTTTACAGAGGAGGAAACTGGGGCCCAGAGCAGGGAGCTAAGGAGCAAAACCGTGATTAGACCAAGTCCTCTGGCTCCTAATTCCCTCTCATCTCCACCACACCATGTTGCCTTTGGTTCAATTAAGCTGCCAGAAAATGAGTTCAAATGCACAAAACCAGCATCGGAAAGAAGGCAGTGAGGACTGCCCAGTAAGCCAAGGTCCTGGAGAGCAGCAGACAGACAGACAACACAGAGGTCAGTGGATGGCATCAGCAAGCCTGGGAAAGACACTGCGGAGCAGTGGCCCAGGCCAGGGCCACCACTTTATAATCACTTCACAAACTGCGTGTGCAACACTGAGCTTGTCAAGAAAGTATCATAGGGAACTTTGGGAGAAGGCCCCGAGGACCACGAGGGCATCGTTCCCTGGGTTCTCTTGACCATCAGTGGCTTGGACAGTTAGAAGGACATCAGGCAGGGGCATACCCCCAAATACTCCTTCTGGAATCACCACCAACTTAGGGCAGTTGTGCCACTTTTGCAAAGAAAGTGCGGTCACTGGTGCTGACCACAGGGCAATGTTAGTGCTGTGGGCAGCCTTGGACCCCGACCAAAAGAAGGTGAGCTGAGGCTCTACAGCTGGGCAGGGCCTTCAGGACCACCCTGCTGCTATTTTCTTTTTAGGCAATTGGGGTTAAGTGACTTGCCCAGGGTCACACAGCGAGTAAATGTTCAGGGCCGGTGCTCTATCCACTGCACCACCTAGCTGCCCCTCCTGCTGGTTTTCAAGGATGACACTACCAACGGCCACAGGGTCAAGCTGGAGGTGACCAGCCCAGAGGCCACAGATGTCTCTCAAGTGGGCAGGGCCTAGAAACACAGGGTACCCAGCCTATGGGCAACCCCTCCAGGAGACCTGTGTGACCTCAGGCTCATTCTTTCCTCCCCTCCCGTTCTGAGCATGCCAGGTCCCCATTCAAGAAACCTCAGTGGCTCCTACTGCCTTTAGCATCGAGTTCAAACTCCACAAAGGCTCCTACACTTTCAAAAACTCGGGCCTAACTGCTCTGCCCATGCCATCTCCTACCTCTGAGCCTTTGCCCGGGCTGTTCCTCATGCTTGGACTGCCCTTTCTCTCTTCTCACCTAGAGGACTTCCATTTTCTATAAGACTCAGCTCAAATATTTAGTCTGATGGCCTGGGTTCAAATCCCTGTGTGACCCTGGGCAAGTCACAACTTCTTTGGGCCTCAGTTTCTTCATCTGGGATGAAGATGTTGGCCCATCGTGGGGTCAGAGCAGCGAGAGGAAGGGGCCCGAACCCCCTCATTTTAGGAAGGAAAAGGGGACCCAGGAAATTAAGTGGTTTTTTCAAGGTCACTAGTACCGTCTAAGGCGGGATTCAAACTCAGGTTTTCCTAACTCTGCATCTGGCCCTCTATCACTTACCACTACACCACCGCCTCTTCCTTTTACAGATGAGGAAACTGAGGGCCCCGAGTTCGAATACTGTCAATGAGCATTTATGAAAGGACACATCCCTCCTCCTGCAGGAGGCATTGGGGACAGACCTATGGAGAAGATGGGAAGGGGGCTTCTGTCCAGGAGACCCCCCCCTTGTTGGGGTGCCCCCTCCTCCCCCCAGCTTACTTTGTACGTATATATTTTGCACGTGCTCATTATCTGTGGTCACGTGGTCTCCCCATGTCATTTCCCCTCGCTCTGCCTCAGTTTCCCCTGCTGTAAAACTGGGAATCTGGTCTAAATGGGCTTTCTGCTCTAGACCCTAGGTGTAACCATGATCGGGTGACATTGCCTGCAACGTGCCTCAGTTTCCCCCTCTGTAAAACAAAGATGAGGGGCTGGTGTCCTTCCCAGCTCTGGAATCCTGCGACCTTGGGCAATGGCATGCATCAGTCTGTGCCTCATCAAGGGCGGAACCAGACGGCCGGGGGGGAGGGGGTCGCGGGCGGATGTCCTCCAAGCCCCTCCCCCAGCCTCAGTTTCCCGCCCGGCCCCCGAGTCGATCAGTGTCCGGCCCCGGGGCCCAGTCGCGCCCTCCCGAGGCCCAAGGTCAGGGGCCGCCAGGCCCCACCCCCGCCCTCACCCCTTGGTTAATGCTGTCGTAGATGGCGTCGCCGCCCTGGTCGAAGGCGCGCTCGAAGAACAAGGCGCCCACGGCGATGGTGAGCGCGAAGGTGGACGTCCTGCGGAACAAGATCGAGTACACTTGCCCAAGCATCGACGGAGACGCCATCTTTCGCCGGCTCGGCCTCGCCCGCGCGTGCGCCTGCGCCCGTGCCCGCGCCGGCGCCTCAGTCTTCTTGTTACGGGGAGGGGCCGCTTCCTCGCAAGGTGCTTCACGGGACTTGTAGTTTCCTCAGAAGTTCGGAGCCCTTTCAACTTTTTTTCCCGACTCTCTTTTGGTCTCAACTTTGGTCAAAAAGTCCTTTACCACCATATTTAGGTAGACCAATCCAAGGGTCGGTTTGAACTTTTTTTATTTGCCTGCACAAACTCACCAAATGGAGCGCTTGAACTACATCTCCCAGAGAGCAGCGCGCGCCTTTAGGACGCCATTTTCTTCCCCTCCCCCGCAGGTTCACGTTATTCCGTGACCCAAAGGCTTCTGGGAAGGCGTCTTAGCCCCAGGCTGAAGTAGAGAGACGGACTACGATTCCCAGAGAGCACTACGCGAGGAGTGGGCGGGACCGCGGCACCAGGTAAGGTACCGACGCAGGGGCGCGGACCGGAGAATTGGTGTCCCCTTTCCCCTCTCCCAGTGGGCACTTGGGCTCGTCCTCGCTGGTCTTGGGCAGGGACGCGGGGCAAACCATCGCGCCGGAGGGGGGAGCGCTCCCTGAGCGTCCTCTGGAGCGGAAGCCTGAGCTCCCTACGGGCTAGGAGGTAAGACGGCCTGGGGCCGGAGTAGGGACCACCGCCGGCGGCGGCTCTTTAAGGGCGACAGAGCGCGAGGGGCCTGTGGCCCATCCGACAGAGGAGCACACTGAGGCACAGAGAGGGCGAGGGGCGAATGAGTGCACGAAAAGGAACTCATTAAGCGCCTACTAGGTGCTGAGCGCGGGTCCAGATAACATAAGCGAAGACGGTGCCTGCCCTCTAGGAGCTTACATTCTAAGGGGGGGAGGGACTATGTCACAGGGGAAAGTGGCTATCAGTTGGTTGACACGGCCCATCCAGGGACACTGACAGGTGATTAGGGCAGGGATGGTTGACTTGACCAGGATCAGTTAGTGTCAGAAGTGAGCTTCGAACTCTGGTCTTCCTGACCCTGCTGAGCAGTCGGATCTGGAGCCGGAGGACCTGGGTTCGGATCTGTGCTCCGAAACTTACTTGGGAAATTCACCCCGCTTCTCCGGGCCTCAGTTTCCTCCTCTGTAAAATGAGTGGGTTGGATCAGATGGCTTCTGAGCCCCACGTCTAGATTCTGTGATTTTGCCTCTACCCATACCTGTCTCTGTTCCTGACTATCCCTATTCTCTCCATCCCTATGCCTGTGGCCGTGTCTGTGTTCTTATCCACAGCTACGTCTGTATCGCCGTGCATGCACATATATACGTGCATGTCTATATGTCCAGCCCTGACCTCTCTCTGGTTGGCCCATCGCCATCTCAGACTCAGCGTGTCTGAAAGGAAACATGTTCCCCCGTGCCCTTGCCCCCCTTTCAGACTTGCTGGTTTCTTGAGCGCCCGCTGGCCTCTCTGAGCGCCCTGCCTCCCGTACGCGCCCCTAGACGGACCGTCTGCCCCTGGTGCCTCTTCTCCCTGCCTGCCAGGCTCACTTCTCAAGCCCTTTCTGCCTCTGCCAGCCCTCCAGCTCCATCTGTGTGCTTTCCATCCTCCCTCTGTGTTGGGGCCGACGCTGCTCTCCTTTGGTGCACCACTGACCGCCGTGACCGCTCTGCCCCAGTCTCCTTTACCCTCAGATCGCCATCCTTCTCCTGAGCCCCGGGGGGCCGTCCTGGGCCGCTATACTTTGTTCCCTGCATTCTCCGGTCAGCTCCCAGGGTCCAGTTATCACGGCCCCACGCCTCTATCCTGTCCTGTCCTCACTCCTGAACTGCCCGCTCCCAGCGCTGCTGGGCTTCGATGTGAATCCTGGCTATGCCGCTCACTCCCTGTAGGACCTCAGGCAGAAGGATTAAACCTTCCTAGGACTCAGTTTCCTCTTCTGTAAAGATGAGACCTTTGGCCTGGATGTGCTTTGAAAGCCCTTCATCTAGGGCCCAATGAGCCTTTTCTGCTCCGCTGCTTGGGGGCAGGCATTCCCTCATGGAGCTGGAAGGGACCTCCTCATTTCACAGAAGAGGAAGGTGAGGCGCCGGGGCTGATAGCAGCCCCCTCGTGCCTTCCCTCTTTAGGGGTGATTCTTATGTGTCTTCTCCCTCCCGTCCTTCACAGAGCATCTCTCTCAGGTCTTTAGAGGTCATCCATAACCCCGTCTGTAATCCCTTCCACTGCGGTTCTTTTCAGCTGGAAATGCTGTGATTTCTAACGTTCCTTTTAATGTTGCAATTCTACAGATGTGTCTCAGGCCCTTTGGAGAGAGCTGGCCTCAGGGCCAGGAAGACCCGGGCCCAGCGCCTGCCTGGGGCCTCTCCTGGCTGTGTGACTCTAGCCAGCCTCCTTCTCTGTGCTCTCTAAGTTGGTAAATTGCAACAACGACACTAACCTGCATGGTTAGGGTGGAGGGAGTTTCCCCACCTGGGAGTTCTCTGCATTAATGAAATCACAGGGCTGGTTCTAAACCCCGCTGTGTAGCATCCTACAGTTGTGCAGCCATTTTCAGACCCCATCCTCTCTGGTCCCCATCACCCTTGCATCCTAGAGTGGCCTTAAGCATGCTACAAGGGGTGGAGGTCGGTTGTGTGATGGGAAGAATTCTTCATTTCCAGTCACAAAACTCCGGCTCAAATTCCTTTTTTTTTTAACCATTTTATTTTATTTTTTAAAATATTTTTTCCAATTTCATGTACAAAATTTTTAACATTTGTTTTTAAAAATTTTGAGTTCCAAATTCTCTCCCTCCCTCCACCTGAGATGGCAAGCATAAAGGTTATACATGTGCAGTTATGCAAAACATTTCCATATTAGTCATGTTATAAAAGAAAACAGAGCCAAAAAAAAACTCCAGGAAGAATAAAGTTTTTTAAAAAGTGTACTTCAATCTGCATTTAGACTCCATCAGTTCTTTCTCTGGAGGTGGATAGCATTTTCCACCATGAGATCTTTGGAATTGTCTTGGATCATTGTATTGCTGAGAAGATCTAAGTCTTTCACAATTGATCATTGTTACAATGTTGCTGTTACTGTGTATGACATTCTCTTGGTTCTGCTCACTTCACTTTGCATCAGTTCATGTAAGTCTTTCCTGGTTTTCCTGAAATCCTGCTTGTCATTTCTTATAGCACAACAGTATTCCATTACATTCATATACCACAGCTTGTATAGCCATTCCCCAATTGATTTCAGTTTCTAATTCTTAGCCGCCACAAAAAGAGCTGCTATAAATATTTTTTTCCTTGTTTTTTTTTTTTTTTTTTTTAAGGCAATTGGGGTTAAGTGACTTGCCCAGGGTCACACAGCTAGTAAGTGTCAAGTGTTTGGTCTGAGGCCGGATTTGGTCTGAGGTCTTGAGGTCCTCCTGACTTCAGGGCCGGTGCTCTATCCACTGTGCCACCTAGCTGCCCCCTATAAATATTTTTGTACATAGAAGTCCTTTTCCTTTTTTTTTTTTAAATATTTCTTTGGTATACAGACCTAGTAATGGTATTATTAGGTCAAAAGGTATGCACAGTTTTATAGCCCTTTGGACATAATCCCAAATCAGTCTCCAGAATGGTTGGATCAGTTCACAACTCCGCCAACAGTGCATTAGTGTCTCAGTTTTCTCACATCCCCTCAAACATTTGCTATTTTCCTTTTCTGTCATATTAGCCAGTCGGATAGGTATGAGGTGGTACTTCAGTTGTTTTAATATGCATTTCTCTAATCAGTGGTGATTCAAAGCTTTTTTTCATGTGGCTATAAATAGCTTTGATATCTTCATCTGAAAACCACCTATTCATATCCTTTGACCATTTATCAGTTGGGGAGTGACTTGTCTTCTTATAAATTTGACTCATTTCTCTCTGTATTTGACAAATGAGGGCTTTATCAAGGAAACTTGCTGTAAAAAATTTCCCCTAGTTTCCTACTTTCCTTCTAATCTTGGCTGCACGGCCTTAGTTTGTGAAGACTTTTCAATTTCGTGTAATCAAAATCATCTATTTTTACATCTCATAATGCTCGCTAGCTCTTGTTTGGTTCTAAACTCTCCCCTTCTCCATGGATCTGACGGGGACCCCATTCCTTGCTCTCCTAATGTACTTATAATAATAGCCTTCGTGTCTAAATCCTGTACTGTGTTTTTTGTTTGTTTGTTTGTTTTTTGTTTGTTTTTGCGAGGCAGTTGGGATTGAGTGACTTGCCCAGGGTCACACAGCTAGTAAGTGTCAAGTATCTGGTCTGAGAGCAGATTTGAACTCGGGTCTTTCTGACTTCAGGGCCGGTGTTCTATCCATTGCGCCACCTAGTGGCCCTCGTGTACCGTTTTGTTTACCTTGGCATACGGGGTGAGACTTTGGTCTATGTCTTGTGGTTGTTTAGTCGATTGGTTGTGTCTGACTCTCCGTGACCCCCTTTGGGGTTTTCTTGGCAAAGAGACTGGAGTGCTTTGCCATTTCCTTCTCCAGCCCATTTTACATTGGAGCTTTCCAGTTTCCCCAGCAGTTTTTCCCCATTCAAGGCTCAAAGACGATGACAGTGATATTACGAGCAGGAATCCTCCGGTGGAGTTGTGACCCCATCCATTTGGACGTTCCCTCCGGCAGTGCAGATAGTGCCCCAGCCATGCCGGCTCCATCCTGTGCCCTTCTTGTCTGAGTCCTCCTACTGCCGCAGCACGAGGGGTCCTCTCACCTTGGGGTCATAGGATCGCAAAGGTAGCGCTAACAAGAACCCTAGAGTCATGGACGCCAGCCCCCCACCCCCATTTTACAGATGAGGAACCGATGCCCAGGGCAGAGAAGTGCCTTGCCAGCATCACAAGCTAGCAAGTTTCTGGGGCAGGATTTGAACCCGAGCCTTCTTTCTGAATCCAGCGCTCCCTGCACTCGCCCGCCAAGGCCCTTCTTGCTGGCTCTGAACAACAGTAGTGATTGACTAACAGTTTACCTTTCTGTAGGACTTAGTTCCCAGCCTTCCGATAGTGGGGCTACAGGTC